CCAGTCTGTAAAAGTGTGTTTTAAGAAGTGATTTAAAAGAGATGATAACACACGAACAAAGATTCTGTTCATGATTTTTATTCATGATTCGTGTCCATCTTCTTTTAAATGCAATGTAATGCTTATTAAGTCAAAAGCCCCCCAAGAACCTGTAGCACTGTGGGGAAAGTACAAGAAGCTGTAAGTGGAACACTCGCGTGGTCTCTCCTTTAGTTTGTCTTTCCGTGCGGTTGGTAAACAGGAAGTTCAAAGAGTGAGAGACGTCACAGAGACGGTGTGAAGCTCATAGTGTCAGTACACACTGTCTACAGGCTAAAGATTCTTCTATCTGCTCACTATAGCTACTTCAATTGAGTTTAGATTTTCTGTGATCTTGTTTCATCTTCAGATCTCCAGGATGGTTCAAGTCCTGACTTCAGACCTCAGAGATTTGCTTTTTTGTCGCACTGTGATTTTCCTTCTTCTCGTACTTTCTTCTGCAGGTAAGATGTTCTCACACACAATATTTATCCAGCTATTCATTCATTAATTATCAACAAACTTACATGTGTATATATTAGTGCACCCAATCTTTCTATTCTAAATTTAGGCGTTTATGACTCATAATTTATTTTTTTAGTAATCAGTACATATTTTGATATTATAATTTATTGAATCTGCTACAAGCAATAACTGCATTGTGTTATGGTCTCTTGGGTGAAAAAGCTTTTTTGTGTTAGACCCATGCACCTTAGACTCCTGCTCACTTATAAACCAGAACAATAACTCTAGTGGTGTTTAAGGGATTTCACCGTGTACCCGATGACAGCTTTAAATGTGAAAAACAGCCAGGAGACACTTCAGAAAGACACTAATAAAAGATGAATTCATGTGATTACACAAACATCTTCTGGGATACATTGAAGTTTGCAAACTGCACAAAGTTTACATATACTGTCTCCACCCAAAAGCAGACAACTGGCTGAGTCTATTGAGGTGAGAAGTTATATAAAGGTCCTGAACAGTTTCAGGCGCTGTTTGGCTGTGAGCATCGTGGTCGCGGCTGCAGTTTGTCTTCCAGTGAACAAAGTAGGTGAGATAATAAACACCCACCTTCCCTCTCTCACAGTCACCGTTACACTCACAACTGTCCCCATGAAACAAAAGCTGCTAGGAACCAAAATGGGTATGAGGGAAGGGGACTTCAAAAAGTAACTTTAATGTCACACAAATACATATTTTAGTAGTTTACTAAATAATAATAAAGTTATAACTTCAGTTGTATGATATTGCTAAAAAATAAACAGTAGAGAATGGGTGTAGAAAAAGTCTAAGTTTTACTGAGGCTTGGTCTCAAACAAGGCAAAACAGTCATCCAGCGTAATACACACGCTGAGTAAAGAGTCAAAAACAAAAGGCAAACAATGTAACAAGCTCTGCACAAAGACACACAAACTGGTTTAAAGAATCACAGGAACTACATTTCATCAGATTTAAACAGATAATAAAGTAGTCTTTAATGATGAAAGGTCATGTTTGATACTTAAGATCTTCTCTAAAATCTTCCTCTATGAACTCAAACAGACACATTCCGTGGAAAGTTTTAGAAGTTTTATTTTCAGACTTAACGTTAGTTCCATGGCAGCAGGTCTCGCTCTCTTATCTCTCTCACACTCATCAAAATCACTTTAAAGTCAACACTTACACATAATAGTTTACTAGATTATGATCCATAAATGTGGTCAACACTCGTCTCTCACTCGTTCCCTCACGGTTTTGTTGTTGTCTGTTCTCACTCGTAGCTCTGCTGGTGGCTGAAGTATCTGTGCTCCTGGAGAGCAATCTTCTTCTTCTTCTTCTTCTTCTTCTTCTTCTAGTTTTACGGCAGTTGGCATCCATCTTGATGGTGCATTACCGCCACCTTCTGCTCCGGAGTGTGGATCAGACAATAAACTTACACTCTTTACCCTAAAACAAAGCAACAACAAACAATCAAATAAAACCAAACAAATAAGCACCCTTGTACCTTATCCCTGCATTTCAATCATACCCTATAAAACCCCTGTGTCCTTTAGGAAAGCTAACAGGACCCTAACCTGTGCTCTCTCACCCGTGCTCAGTACTCCTTTCAGTGAGCATTCATGCTCCCTCATTCTCTCAGATTATTCCTCATCGTCTCTCTCTGCCTCTCATACTCACTACAACTCACCACTAGTGCTCAACTGACTCCTCTTCTCCACATCCTTCACACATCCCTGTCTGGTGTTTCCTCTCATCTTCAGTGTTTTATTTAGTGCACTATGGCCCAACCGTAACCATGTCCACACAGTTTCCTCTCTTCTGTTCAATTCAATTCAATTCAATTTATTTTTGTACAGCCCAAAATCACAAATTACAAATTTGCCTCAGAGGGCTTTACAATATGTACACATGTGACATCCTCTTGTCCCAGGACCCTCACATCAGAACAGGAAAAACTCCCCCAAAAAAACCCCTTTAACGGGGAGAAAAGAGGAAGAAACCTGTGGGAGAGCAACAGAGGAGGGATCCCTCTCCCAGGATGGACAGAAGTGCAATAGATGTCATGTGTAGAACAGGATAGTGAATTACAACACATTCAATGTAATTACAGCACATTCAATGTATGACAGAACCACGGCAGGAAGCAAGACCTGGTCCAGGTATAACCCGGATACACAGGAACCTGTGAGGCGAGAAAGCACAGAGACTCTGGTGAAGAAGCAGGTCAATAATGTGCATTAATGGTATCGGTAATATGAATTAGTAATGTGAGTAATAATAAAAGTGATATTAGCAGTTGGAGTCAGCAGGGCCATGGTAGGAGGAAGGACCAGGGTCCAGATGAAACCATGCTCCATGGAAACCTGTGAGGAGAGAAAGCACAAGGACTCCGGGGAAGAGACAAAATCAGTACTGTGCATTAATGGTATCGGTAATAGGATTAATAATGTTACTAATGAAGAACGTAGTAGGTGTCAGCAGGGCCATGGCTGGTTGAAGGACCAGGGTCCAGATAAAACTGCGGTCATGGGAACCTGTGAGGCGAGAAAGCACAAATACTCCGGGGAAGAAGTAAAGTTAGTAATGAGCATTAATGGGACATCAATGCATACAGACAGAGGTGAAGAAGAGGAGGAGAGAGGTGCTCAGTGTATCCTAAGGAAGTCCCCCTGTAGTTTTTGCCTATACCAGTTTGTCTAAGGGCCGGTCCAAGGCAAGCCAGAGCCAGCCCTAACTATAAGCACTGTCAAAGAGGAAAGTCTTAAGCCTACTCTTAAATGTGGTGAGTGTGTCTGCCCCCCGGACTGAAACAGGAAGCTGGTTCCACAAAAGATGAGCTTGATAACTGAAGGCTCTGGCTCCCATCCTACTTTTTAAGACTCTAGGAACCACAAGTAACCCTGAATTAATGGAGCGCAGCTCTCTAGTAGGGCAGTATGGTACTATAAGCTCTTTAAGATATGATGGTGCCTGACCAGTTCGGGCTTTGTAGTGTTAGACATGTTGGAGTGTTTTGTGAAATTGTGATGCCCCTAGACGGAAGGCCCTGGTGATTAGGTGTTAACAAACACCTTAAACACAACAAATACAAATTTAGAAAAACAAAAATAAAATAGAGAGAGACATAGGAAGCTGTGTTTCTTGTAAGGTTGTACCTGTTAAACAGACATGGTTCTGTTGTCACACACCCTCTGCGTACGGACGTGCGGGGGGGGGTGCACACAGTCACGTTCCTGAGGTTGTTCAGATGGCGATTTCGTAGGTGATTAAGGTTTATGACCTACTTAGTAATACAGAGTTGTGACCCACCTTCAGGGGACAGGTGGGGGTGATGTGATGTTTGCACAGCTGCACTCACGATATTGCCGTTCGGCCTTAGGCCCAGACGCCATCAAGTCTCTACACTCACGATTTATTACTTATTGTCTTTCACGGTTACCTTAAGCACCGGCACCTGATCACCTCTCTGCATTCACAGTAGTTACTTATTATCATTTAGGGTTACTTTAAGCTTCTGTTAGGGTCATTGGACCGCGTCTGCATTCCTGCATATAGACGCCAGTTACGCAAATGGGTACATATAAATAAGAATACCCTGGTATTAATCTCACGCTGGGGAAAAAAGGTGTTTTATATCATGTATTGTTTGGATTGTCATGTATCTCTGTGTCCTGTTGGCATCAACCAGTGAGCAGTGTGTGTCATGTGTCCTGAGTACCAGCAGATGTCATTGTGTTGACATATACCTTTGACCTGGATGAACAGTACGGTCATCCAGGTATGACAAAATTTAAGGGGCGTTACCCTGATACTGTCATAACCCACGGAGGCACCAAGAAAAGGGGAGTTACTTACCCCAGGTGTTAACACAGAGTATAAAAATTCTCGGTTTTCGAGAAGAGACAGCTTAGTCGGGGGAGAAGCTGAACCTGCGCTGGGTTAATCTTTAAACTTTTTCTCTGGACATTTGAGAACAGCCTGCTCACTGAGGGCACAGGAGTTTTTAAATACTTTGTTGATTTTTATATTTTCATGTTAATCATTTTTTCTCTGTATTTGGACCAAGAGAATATACTTTGAATTGGACAAAAATAAATAAGTAACGATTTAACTCTTTCCGACGGACTCTTTTTCTTCATCTGTTTTGGAAAATCAGAGAGGAGAGGTCTCCTCCGATGAAGGAGACTTCCCAGCCCCTGTGGTAAGTTGATAGCGATCCAGCACGGTACATTACTGATGCATCCTTTATGCGCACACACACCTACATATTCTAGCATTCGTTTTCTATAGTTAAGAGAGACCCGGGGAAGCCCCGCTTGATTTTGAAAGAGTTTTATATCAGTTGAGCTCTGAGCAGGGACCAATACATTGAAATTTAATATAAATTAAAACAATTTTATAAAAGACTTTATAAGACCGACGGCTATTCGAGCAATCGATTATACTGTTTAGTATATCACTGTTTTGGCGATTCGGAAAAGAAAGCAAACGAGCTATCAATGGGGCTCTTGTTGGTGATTTATTACTATTTAGTGCAAATCAGCTACCGGCATAAGGGAGAGGTGTGCGGGAGCCGCCCTCCCTCAGGCCAGGTGAGCGAGTCACATAGAGAGAGAACTGAGCTCTGCTATCTCTCCCCCTTCTCGCCGTCTCTTGTTGCAACAGGGGCGCTCACAGGGAGTGACCACGGCCCCACGGGACACGAGTCCCGTGGGGCCGTGGTCACTCCGGCGGCAGCTCGTGTCTGTCCGTCGCCGGCGAGGTCCTCTCAGTTCGCGCATCCACTGCTGAGGGATCCTTGTTCCACTTTTGTTCATTTCAAACAAAAGGCCTCCTATTTGTTTATTACTTATTATTTTTTGATAAATTAAAACATTTTGATAAGGAATAATTTTTAATAAATCAAAAAAAATAATAATAATAATTAATTAATTAAAGAAATTAATATATATATTTTTTTTATTAATTAAAAATTAAATTAAGAAAGCGTGCGGGGGCACCACGCGTTACAGTAGGTAAGTAAAAGGATTTTAAATTCTATTCTAGATTTTACAGGGAGCCAGTGCAGAGAAGCTAATACAGGAGTAATATGATCTCTTTTCTTAGTTCTTGTCAGTACACGAGCTGCAGCATTCTGGATCAACTGGAGCGATTTAAGAGACTTATTAGAGCAGCCTGAAAATAAGGAATCACAGTAATCTAGTCTAGAGGTAACAAATGCATGAACTAATTTCTCTGCATTGCTTTGAGACAGGATGTGCCTGATTTTTGAAATGTTACGTAGGTGAAAAAAGGCAGTCCTAGAAATTAGTTTTATCTGAGAGTTAAAAGACAAAGTCAAAGGTAACTCCAAGATTCTTTATAGTGCTGCTGGATGCCAGCGCAATGCCATCTAGAGAAACTATATCATTAGATAACTGATGTTGGAGGTGTTCTGGGCCTAGTAGAATAACTTCAGTTTTGTCTGAGTTTAACATCAGGAAGTTGCAGGTCATCCAGGTTTTTATGTCCTTAAGACATGCTTGCAGTTTAGTGAGCTGGTTGGTTTCATCTGGTTTCATCGATATGTATAATTGAGTATCATCTGCATAACAATGAAAGTTTATAGTGTTTTCTGATAATATTGCCTAAAGGAAGCATATAGAAGGTGAACAAGATTGGTCCAAGCACAGAACCTTGTGGAACTCCATAACTGACGTTGGTCTTCATCGAGGCTTCATCGTTTACAAACTGAGATCGATCCGATAAATAGGATCCAAACCAGTTCAGTGCGGTTCCTTTGATGCCAATATAATGTTCTAGTCTCTGCAACAGGATGTAATGATCAATGGTGTTGAACGCAGCACTAAGGTCTAACAGGACAAGAACAGAGACTAGTCCTTTGTCTGATGCGATAAGAAGGTCAGTTATTTTTACCAGAGCTGTCTCTGTGCTATGATGCTTTCTAAATCCTGACTGAAAATCCTCAAATAAACTATTGTTACGTAGAAAGTCACACAACTGATTCACAACTGCTTTCTCAAGGATCTTAGAGAGGAAGGGAAGGTTAGAGATCGGTCTATAGTTAGCCAACACCTCTGGATCGAGAGTGGGCTTTGTAGCGTGAGCGACTCCTGCCCCGTTTCTAGGCGGGGAAGTAGTTCGCACCTAACTCGGTGGTTACTCCGTCGGCTGTCCCACCTGCTGAGGATATGCGTTCCTCCTTCAGGTCTCAGAATACCTTCGGCCTTTTATCTCACCCCGTAGCTAAATCGTTAGGATTTCGGAATTAATTGTCTTCTTGAAAGTCTTTTAGGGCTAATGCCCTAGGCGCTCTCAATGGGATGTAACCCTAACACCCTGTATGTAATAGTTATGTACATCGTCTATACTTTACTATTGCCTATTGTGAACATTCTCACCATTTATGACTAACACTGCCAAGTCTTCACCCAGGGAACTCACCTTAAGCTCCTCTGCATGTTTCAGTCGTCACATCTTATCGCACCATTAACGGACAAGGGAAGAGGGGTACATTGTTTTAAAGGACCAGAACACTGTTTTGGTTTCAGTCACTTACTAAATGTAAGGCTGTGTTTTTATTTCTGGTTTTCACACAAGATTCACATACAACAATTTTAATTCAATGAAACAGTTACAGTGGCTATAGAACTAATTCTAGCATTCCTCTCTGTCAGCCTTCACTGATTTTGTAATGAGGTCTTCTTCAGTCAGCTCTCTGACATTCCTACTTTTATGGAGAGAAGCCCCAAACTCAGTTTTTCTGCTGCTCTAAGGCTGGCACCTCCTTCATCATGAGTCCTCTCTCTCGAGCTGACACAGAATGTAACTGGTAGTAACTGGTTTGATCCTGCTAGAACCAGAAGCACTGTAAGGCTCAAGTGACTATTTTAAACAAAGTGTCTAACTCTAAACAGTTTATATGTTAAATCACAGCGATCATAAAATAAAACAAATCACATTATGATGGTTATAAAAAGTGTAAACATGCTATATGTTATATAAGGGTTACAGGTTATAATAGTTATACTTTTATGCTTTTCTACGATCTTTCTACACCACCATCACAGAACTACTCTTTGTTGTCATTGCTTGGAATGTAATTGAGATATATATGTTTAGAAAACACTTGCCCTTTCTTCTCATTTACGAACAAATGAAAACTACAGTGGTTCCTACCAACACATTTAGGTAATTCATCTTTCACAACAAAGTGAAAAGATGCATTTTTATCCTGTGTGAACTCTCATGTGTCTGTTCAGAAGTCCCTGCTGTGCAAATCTTTTCCCACAAACATCACATCCAAATGGTTTCTCTCCTGTGTGAACTGTCATGTGTGTCTTCAGACTTCCCTGCACTGTAAATCTTTTCCCACAAACATCACATCCAAATGGTTTCTCTCCTGTGTGAACTCTCATGTGTGTCTTCAGACTTCCCTGCTGTGTAAATATTTTCCCACAAACATCACATCCAAATGGTTTCTCTCCTGTGTGAATTCTCATGTGTGTCTTCAGACTTCCCTGTCCTTCAAAACTTTTCCCACAAACATCACATCCAAATGGTTTCTCTCCTGTGTGAATTCGCATGTGTTTCTTCAGACGTCCCTGCTCTGTAAATCTTTTCTCACAAACATCACATCCAAATGGTTTCTGTTCTGTGTGAACTCTCATGTGTTTCTTCAGACTTCCCTGCTCTGTAAATCTTTTCTCACAAACATCACATCCAAATGGTTTGTCTCCTGTGTGAACTCTCATGTGTGACTTCAGACGTCCCTGCTCTGTAAATCTTTTCCCACAAACATCACATCCAAATGGTTTGTCTCCTGTGTGAACTGTCATGTGTGACTTCAGACGTCCCTGCTCTGTAAATCTTTTCCCACAAACATCACATCCAAATGGTTTGTCTCCTGTGTGAACTGTCATGTGTTTCTTCAGACGTCCCCGCTCTGTAAATCTTTTCCCACAAACATCACATCCAAATGGTTTCTCTCCTGTGTGAACTCTCATGTGTGTCTTCAGACTTCCCTG